ATCCGTAAAGAAAATGTTTATCCTGGGTTTCCTTTTGAATAAAATTAAACAAGATTAACAGAAAAATATTTCGGCTTCTTCAACAGATTTTCCGTCATTCAAACTTTATGAAGAAAGATGAAAAATTGTGTAAAAAGAAAGGAAAGTTAAATTTTAATTATGCAGTATTTACTATGCATGCCTGCCTAAGCGGCTCTGTTATGCTTTGCATGATAAGCAAATATAATAACTTTAAACATTTTAAGCTAATTAATTGTTAAAAAGAAACTTTTAATTTCAATATCCTGTTTGCTGGTAACTGTTCTACTGTTCTACTGATCTACTGGTCTTCTGGTCTACTCGTCTACTGGTCTACTGTTCTACTGGTCTACTGGTCTACTGTTATACTGGTCTACTAGTCTACTGTTCTACTGGTCTACTGGTCTACTGTTCTACTGATCTACTGGTCTTCTGGTCTACTCGTCTACTGGTCTACTGTTCTACTGGACCACTGGTCTACTGGTCTACTGTTTTACTGGTCTACTGGTCTACTGGTCTACTGGTCTGCTGATCTACTGGTATAGTAGTCTACTGGTCTACTGGTGTACTGGTCTAATGGTCTAATGATCTACTGGTCTAATGGTCGACTGGTATACTGGTCTACTGTTCTATTTGCCTACTGGTCTACTGTTCTACTGGTCTACTGGTCTGCTGATCTACTGGTAAACTAGTCTACTGGTATACTGGTATACTGGTATACTGGTCTGCTAGTCTACTAGTCTAGTGGTTTACAGGTCTAATGGTCTACTGGTCTACTGGTCTACTGGTATACTGGTCTACCGGCCTACTGGTCTACTGGTCTACTGGTCTACTGTTCTACTGTTCTACTGGTCTACTGGTCTACTGGTCTGCTGGTCTANTCCTCCCTTAATCTCCCGGTTAAGTAGTAATTAATATTTATATCTATAATGCAAGTTGTAATTATTGCGTACTGTTCTACTGGTATACTGGTCTACTGGTATACTGGTCTACTGGTTCACGGGTCTACTGGTCTACTGGTATAATGGCTTAATAGTCCACTGCAGTCTACTAGTCTACATCAGTCTACTAGTCTACTGTTCTACTAGTCTACTGCAGTCTACTAGTCTACTGGTGAACTAGTCTACTGGTCTACTGGTTTACAGGTCTACTGGTCTACTGGTTTACAGGTCTACTAGTCTACTGATTCACAGTTTAACTGGTCTACTGGTTTACAGGTCAACTGGTCTATCTTTTTACTAGTCTATTGGTGTACTAGTCTACTGGTTTACTGGTTTACAGTTTTACTAGTCTACTGGTCTACTGGTTTACAGGTCTACTGGTCTACTAGTCTACTGGTCTACAGGTCAAATGATCTATCTTTTTACTAGTCTAGCTGTACATATACCTTCAGTCTATTTGTCTATTTTTTTCTAGGTCTATCCGTATCTGTCTACCTACAATGGTTATCTGTATGTTTACTGGTTTAATTGGTATTGGTACATCGACTAGCTTTGAAGCTTAAATTTTCTAAAATTCTTCTTTTATTATATAAATTCTCATTATTACCCCCCCTCCCCCCAAGATGGAAACGGATCGTTAAATACTGCACACAACGTTAAGACCTTTCTTCCTTATTTTATATGCTGTCAAGCTTCATGTAATATGGGAAGGGGCCGGGAGGGGCCATGAGGGGGGGGGATATTTAAGAAAAAATTATATAATGACGGGTTTAAATACAAATGAGCGTAACTAAGCTAATTTGACAAACTAAGGTTTGTAAAAACAATTGTTTAAATGCTGAAATGAATGACATTTAAACATTTTAGGAGCTGCACCTTTAAATATAGTTTTATTTTCACCAAACCTCATTTTCTAAAAACTCAACATCCTCGGCAGTTTCAACTTTCTCAGTAGACTTTAAACCCCCTGCAATCTAAGACATAAAAGAATAAGATTGTGTGACAAAAAATATCAATGTTTCGGTCTAGCTCTATGTTAACAATTTTGACAAAGAAATACAAAATTTTAGTTATTGGCAAAAAATAAAAGGAACTGAGTTTTAGCCACAAATTCTGATTTTCAAATCGTTATATCTTTATTTGATCTAAAATGATTCATAGTTTGAAATATCTAAGGTCTCCGACACTGAAATGCAAATATATAGGGATAAGAAAATCAGAGTTTGTGACAAAAACTCAATTCCTTTAAAATATATTTTTGGCATTTTGATTCACATTGTTTTGACTTATTGTAATTAGTGTCTTCCGCTTATCTTATCTTTAGTCTGAAACATAAAGATAGTTTTCAGATGAAACTGAAAAGGATGGCTTCTGATTTATATTTAAACCATGAACCTGGCTTCCTTTCAACTCATTACTTTTCAAATCTTAACCATAGTGGACTATACAGAAAGCAAGTTTATTATTTGAGGGAATTAGTCATATGCTGTCTTTGAGAAATTATCAATTTAATCTCTCAAATTTAGTACCACTGGTAGACATGAACTAAATTGTTTTGTGCATAAAAAAGTTAAAAATTTCAAATATAATAACTATCATAGATATCAGTTGGTTTTCATTTGTGATTTTTCAATTTTTTTGAGAAGAGGGCTAAAAGACGAAAATGTTAGTAAATTTATCATGTTTGTTGAATACAAACCTCTTGAAATGCGCCAATCATTCAATAATGAGTGTACGGAAATTCAAATAAATCATTTTAGGACATTTACAATGGATGGTTTTTTAATGTTTCATTTTTAAATTAACTACGGTGATAACCAGAAACCTATGAAATAGAAAGACGACTTTAAAGCAACAAGACAATCCTTTAGTCTATTTGATGTTGTTACAAAGCAAATAGATTAACTTATAAAATCCCTTATTAACTAACATATATTTGACTGTATTTACACTTGCTGTGTATCATGTTCATTGGATGACAAATAAACCCTAGAAAGGCTGGGGGGTCTGAATCATATGTATAGCCTGGGGTGGGGGGGGGACGTCTCACGCTACCCCCTTAGAAAAAGGGCTTAGAGAATAGGGTTGAAATGTATGTTCATAGCCCAATTTTACGAGGCCAGTTCATTGAAAAATAATTAGACAGATAACTTGTATAGTTTGTGTGCTAGGGAGGGTTAAAAAGGGTCAGCAAAATTTTAAAAATAAACAAATCTCAAAAGTGTGACATATATTACTACATCCATTTTTCATGAGGTTTTCAACAATGTAGATTATAGATCTGTTCCTTTAGTTAAAAAAGTAGATTTTTTTCCACGGACCGGCCTTTTTACCGCCCTGTACTTACCCTATGCGTAAAAAAAATACAAAAAATCCTTTGAATTTCTATTCATTAAAAGTCAAACAATTTCCCGGTGATAGTGTCAAAAACTATAATTGGTGCGTCAAACACCCCCCCCCCCTCAATCTAGCTTGATTAGGCAAGGGTTAAAGCTTAATAACTTAAGTCTTAAAGTCGACTTTCTAATCCAGAATTTTCTGGTTCTCCTCACTGTATTGAATTAATTGGTTTAGGACATATTTTTTTGTATATACATTTAGCACATATTCATATCTATTAGATATATTAAATTAAATAAATATATTATATTTCATTCATGTGTATATCTATCTTTGCATTTGTTGTGAAGTGCACTTTCTCTGTTGGCGGTTTAATTTATTTTGGTGTTTTGTCCAAACAAAGAAACTGACAGAAATATATTAAAGTTTTATTCTTATTTTCTAATATATGTTTTCACACAAATACTTATTAACAATAATCAATATTATCAATTTTGATTCAAGCTTTTATTTTTTATTTTTTTTTATCATCATAATCCAGATCACTCTTTTTATTCTTTTTCCTTTTTTTTCTTATTTCTCCTTCTCCATTTTCCATTTTCTGATCTTCCATGCTTCCTAATTCCTATTCCTCAAAGTTAAACTAAAGCAAACTGCACGTTTGATTAAAATATTATAGGTTTTTAATCATAACTCCTTTTATAAAAAGAGCTACTGAGAGGAACAATGATGTTTTGAATTTATAATATTTAACCGAAAAAAAAGAATTGACTCTTTGCAACAAACTCTGATTTTCTAATCCCTATATCTTTGGATTCCAACGTGGTAAACCATTGAAATTTCAAACTATGACTTTTGTTAGATCAAAAAATATAAGTTTGAGATATCAAAGGTTTACGACATTGGGTTCCAACGATATTGGGATTAGAAAATCAGAGTTTGTGGCAAAGAGTCAATTCCTTCGCATTTTTCATACTTGTGTTTGAAATCCAACCTAAAGAAGCTACGAGGTCACAAAGTCGTAGCAGTAATGTTGCAAAAATTCTAAGTACGTCTATAGTTTGCAGTGCCTCTCTTGCTTATTTCTTGTTCCTCATTTTTCCTTCCTTTCTCCTTTATTTCTTCTTCCCAATCTTCATATCCCTAGTTCACGTAGAACTAACTACAACCAAGTGCATCCTATCTAGTTCACGTAGAACTAACTACAACCAAGCGCATCCTATCTAGTTCACGTAGAACTAACTACAACCAAGTGCATCATATCTGTATCCCTAGTTCACGTAGAACTAGATACAACCAAGCATCCTATCTATATCGGAAATTTTCAGTCTTAGTTTGATCTCTCATTCAAATTCCGTCAAAAATAGCGTTAGAAACTTAATAAACAATTCTATACTTTTCAATATAGCTCCCAACAAACAAGTATAACAGTACATTTAGATTTAATGGATGAAAATGGGTTCTAAAGTTAAGACTCGTAATGAGAACCTCTAGTTATCCGTGGTTTGCCTACCAGCCTTCATAAACACCCCGTTTAGCTGGAAGTTTAGTAGCTTGTTAAAGTTAATGTTGGAATTATTAGAATTTTCCTCAATTACTTGAAACTAGGATGACTAGCTCAACATTTTATCAGAAAGAATTGTAACAGAACAAAAAGGTTTATGCAACCAAGAGTTCAGTTCTAATCAATCTTTACTCCAGGATGAACCCGCTCTACAGTGGGGAAGAGGACCCGGATGGGATGGGACGGGACGGAGCTCGGAGAAGAAATGAGGACGGAGGAAGTGATGGTTCAAGATCTCCGAGTTATAGCAATCCTTCTTCTAGCTCCGGGTATGGGTCCAATCCCACAACATTAGGTAGGTTAATTAATTCTGTGGTATTTTAAGACATTTTACATACAGGGTGGTTCTTACAACAACGCAGGGGTAGATTTAAAATAATGCACATTGTTTCAAAAAACTGTTGTTTCCCGATAAAAATTGAACTTTTCAAAAAATACCTGAAATAGGCCGGGGAAATAAGTTTTATTTGGTGAAATTAATACACTTCTGCAAGTTGCAACATTATTAAGGCATGTATGTTTATTAGGTTATATGAAAATAAGAGAATTATTATTATGTTATGTGGAATCTATGAATTATTAAAAAAATGATTTAATATTAAAAAGAAAGCTGATAAAATAAGAATTATTTAAGCTACATAATTAAATATATACTGCACGTCATAGGTTTCTCATAAAACATGCACACCTGGGGATTCAGGCATAACTTAGATAGATAGATAGTTAAATAGTTAGTGCGTAGTTAGTTGGCGTTTCAAGCCAATTTTCCGCTCTTATAACCATTTAGTCCTGAATAAAATATATTCTGGCCAAACCTAATTCTGGTTAAATCCGTTGTTTTATCGGATAATAAGGGGGGGGGNAAGATCAACAAATAAAAAGATAAAAATTCATAAATATGTAATAACAAAGATCAACAGATAAAAAGATAAAAATTCATAAATATGTAATAAAAAAGATCAACAGATAAAAAGATAAAAATTCATAAATATGTAATAATAAAGATCAACAGATAAAAAGATGAATGAATAAATATAAATGAAAAACCGATAATTAATTAATATGTAGATAATATGTTTAACATTTCTTTGAAAGATCAATAAATTATCAGATCAATAGATCAGCAGATCAATCGATCAGCAGATCAATAGATCATAAGAGCAGTCGTCGTTTTGTATTATCGACGTTTTGTTATCAATTAATCAACAGATCAACAGATCAGCAGATCAACAGATCAACAGAAAAGGAGAAAAAAGATCAACTTTTGAACTTACAAATATAAATGAAAGTATGGCACAGTTATGTGAATGCATAGATTTAGAATTTGCATTCTTTTGTTTTGATTTTATACTTCACTGATTTGGCGTAATCTAATCAACATTTTAATTAATCTTTTTTTCAGTTTGCTTTTGTTTTTAACTGTAGAGTTGGCTGGATTACTAGATTGATCTTATCTCATGATATTTGAAGGTTTTGCACTGAAACTAAATTACAAAGAATAATGGTTAAACACTGAATAATTGGGAACCTGTCCAAGAAATATGAAGCGGGAAGGGTGGAGGGGGGTAGTATGCAGAAACATCAGAAATCAGCAAAAAATAACCTAAACCTAAAAATATTATGCACAATTTATTAAAAGGTTAAATTCGAACCTTAATTTTAAAAACATTTGATTAAGAGTAGTAGGTTGGGTTGAAGAGAAGCTTAGGTTTACAGAATGAATTCAAGATAAGTTTTGATTTACAGGTTGAATTCAAGAGAAGTATAGGTTTACAGTTTGGATTCAAGAGAAGAATAGGATTACAGGTTGGGTTTTATAGAAGTTCACATGTTCACATGTTGGGTTTAAGAGAAGATTAGGTTTACAGGTTAAATTTTAGAAAAGTTTGTGTTTACAGGTTGGGTTTAAGTGTAGGTTTTGTTTACAGGTTGGGTTTTAAAGAAGGTTTGGTTTAGAGATTGAGTTTAAAAGAAGTTTTGGTTTACAGGTTAAATTTAAGAGAAGTTTATGTTTACAGGTTGGGTTTAAGAAAAGGTTTGGTTTAAAAGAAGTTTAGGTTTAAGAGAGGGTTGGGTTTACTTAGTGTTTACCGGCAAGTTTAATGTATGGTTAGAGTAGGTTAGGGTAGGATAGTAGGGTGGAGCGAATAGATCAGAGTAGGATGTTTTAGGATGGAGTAGGTTGTTTAAGGATGGAGTAGGTTAACGTAGGATGGGGTAGAATGGAGTAGGATGAATTAGGATGGAGGAGGTTGTTTTTAGGATGGAGTAGGTTGGAGTAGATTAGGTTTTACGAAGAGTACTGAACATTTATCCAGCAAGGCAGGGAACCCCTGGCCGCTATGACCCGAAACTATGCAAAAACGAGCCTCCCAATTCGCTATTCAATAAGAGCCTCCGCTATATTTTTTCGACATAGTGGCACACAAATTTCACTAATGATTAAAGTTATATATGAAATTGTCATGATTTGTTCCTAAGATTGACTCATAAATTGGTTTTCAAGATTTATGTTTTACAAGCTAAAGTGCACGGCTTTGCCCGTGAAATTTTTTTAATCCAATTTAAAGCAAAAACATTTTGTAGAAAAAAAAAAATTCGATTTAAAAAAAAAACAATTTAAAAAAATTCGATTTTTGAAAAAAAAATCAATATATTTTATGAAAAAAATGTCTTATTTTTTTTAGCTAGAGGGCTATATGGATTTCTGAATTGAACTTTGTTTATTTTGTTTAAATCTTTGATAAAAGCACTAATTTTTTGAATTTTTTTTATTCAAATTAATCATTAATATCAAAATTTATATATTTTTAATTATCTAAATCTGATAAGAATTTCAAAAAAAAGGTATTGCTTAACCCAAATATCAAATGAAACTAAATTCGGAATATTATCTTTTTTTGCAAAGTTTTTAAACCGTTTTATTAGCCATACAATCAAGCACTATTTATATTAATTGATTAATACTTTTGATCTTTAATAAACCTCTCATGGAACTATGTAGAAAAATTTGCTAAAATCTTGTATTTAAACATAATACATGAGTTTAAGCCCATTTTGATGTAATACGTAAGCTCATTACTGTAAAGCGGAGGCTCGCACTGCGTGGCAAATCTGGGAGACTCTCATTCTGTATAGTTGAGGCTCATGGCGGCCGGAGGTTCCCTCCCTAATCCAGCAAAAGTAAAGTGCAAGTTTTCTTAGATAAAATAAAAATGTTGTCTGCAGTTGTTTTTATAAACAAGAGGGATCGGACAAACAGTTGTTGTTGAGGGGGGGGTATGGGAGAGGGGGGGAGGATAGTTTCTTTGTGAAACTTAAAACTAAAAGTTCTCAAGGAAAATGATCCAAATGTTAACAAATTATTCCAAGAATGTTGCTGCAATAAGGTTTTCTCAAAAAAGTAAATCCAACCAAACCATCATTTATATAATCTTACAATTTGTACAATGTATATCGTACAATTCACATAAATCAAATAAACATAAATTCTAGTGTGAATAAAGGAAATGATAGTATGATACATTTTAAAGAAAATGTATAATCATTTTGAGGTTAAAAGGATACACATCAAGCAATAAGGAAGATATTAGTTTTGGTGTTAAAAAAAGAATATGGTTCTTTTTAATAACATGTTTAATATTTAGACCGGCTGCGGGTTCTTTTTCTAACATCTCTTTGGATATCCACAGGTTTTTAGTGCAACCAAGCATGCACATATTCTGCACTAAAGCTTCTGCACTATCAACTTAAAATTTGTACATACATAATATCTACTTCATATCTACAGATAAATAATTTGCATGAAGCACAGACTACACAGACTGCTCATACACTCTACCTGGATTGGCTGAGCAGGCCTATTAGGGTGTCCCAGCACGCCATGCTACGCTTCCATGTAATGTTTTTTGGCTGACATCTGACGGCCACTTGTTGCATTCAGGGGTTAAGTTTTACTTAAAGAAATACTCCAATTTTAAACATAAAACATAACGTTTATGAATATTGTCTATTTTTAAAGATCTTGCATTTCCTATTCAAAGGATCCTTAAATATCTCTAAATACAGATGTCTCCTGAGTGGTCGTGTACAGTACTTGTACGCAATAGAACAAGCTGTGGTAAATATCTCATATTATAGGTGTTAATCGATCTCTGTAAATCTCTTATCTCTGGCATGAAGTTAAAGCAGATGCACAGAGAGGATGCCATACTGTACATGTCTGTTCATGTACAAATGTACAACTTTCACCTGTACATCTGTACATGTGAAAGTGTACCACAATTGTGCACAATGAATGTTTTAAAAGTTAAAGATATCACAATCTAACAGTTCAATGTTAGGGAAACATGAATGAAAATTAAACAACAAAAAGCATGGAAAAAAGTTCAAGAGGGGGGGGGGAATTAACTAAAAAAGGGAAAAGAGGTTGAAGGAAGTGGGAATAAAGCATAGGGAAAAGTTTAAGAAGGGTGGGATTAACTAAAAAAGGGTAAAGAAAGTATAGGGAAGGGGGAATGTTTTTAGCTTCTTTTCTATTCTCTAAAGAGAATCAACTTTGCTAAGATTTTCGGGGTAAAAGAAAAAGAAACTTTAACAAAGTTTTATTTGAAGTTACAAAAGTACTTTGTTTTAGATCTAATATTAAATAACATACAATTGTTTTAACAATTATTTAACAACTTCTTTAGTGTATTAGAATTTAGCATTTTTTTGTTAAAAAGTTTAGATCCTTTCAGCAGCACGCTGAAAATATTTTTTTTGATAAAATGTCGATTAAAAATAGCTTCAAAAAACTGGAACTCTGCAGTCTGCAGGCTTTAAAATGAACTTTTCAAATTAACTTTTTAATCTCCTGTTCAACGAAATAACCAACCTTTAATTCCCTCCTTTTTTATTTCCAGGGAGGATAATTACTTATCCTCCCTACGCTCGTGAGGTTTAGAACCCCAAAAAGGTCTTGGAGGCCCTCGGCTAAGTGGTTTTCCCCTCAATTTAATTATCCTCCCTTAATCTCCCGGTTAAGTAGTAATTAATAGTTATATCTATAATGCAAGTTGTAATTATTGCGAACTATTTAGTACAAATCCAACTATAAACAGTACAGCAGAGAACCTAAAAAGTAACTGAACACTAGGGTCAAACTCAAATTATCTAATCCCCATATCCTTGCAACCTCTAAAGGTGTAAACCCTTTGATGTCTCAAACAATCAATTAATTTGAAATATCAATGGTCTACGACATTAGGTTGATTATGATTATATATCTATATAATATCAATGATCTACGACATTAGGTTGATTATGATTATATATCTTTATAATAGCAATGGTCTACGACATTAGGTTGATTATGATTATATATCTATATAATAGCAATGAAAGTTCGTTTCCTTAAACTTAAAATTATAAGAAAATATATACTGGAATAGTTATCCTTGCGTTTTACTAGAGACCGTCCTAGTGTTCTCTATAGCATGACCTTTGCAAAGACCTTGGATCTTTCGTTTTTCATTGGTTGTCTTTTTCCTTCCTCTATCTTTTATTTCGATACTTCGAACTTAAAAATATAATCATCTTTTTTTGCAGGATCATTGGAGAAAGACGCGGAGAGAGAAGAAACTGAGGAGGATGGAAAACCACTACACGTTACTAGGAATATAAAAACAAAGATTAAATATTTTTCATCATTTTTATTCGCATTTCCGATTTTACAGAAACATTTAATAGAGGTGAACTGATTTTCGGAAATCTTGTGCAAGTTTTTCACCATCCTCCATTTTTGTTTTTCAATCTGTAAAAGTATATTTTAAGAATGGGAATATAGATTTTTAAATAAAACTTTCATGTGACCCTCCATTTAAGGAGTGGAATGTTTGATTCACAAAAGTACCTTTTAATTTAATCAACAATGAGGAAGATATAGTCGGTTTTTTTCATTTAGAAATTATAGATATTGAAAAGTGTTAAATTCTGAACATTCCCTTTCATTCTTTTTCAAGTATAAATTCGCAAGTCACTTTCATGGAGAACCCCAATCAAAAATAATCAATTTTTCAGATGATAATTAAGGATATCTTCTTAACCCTATAAAGGCTGAGGGGTCTGAATCTATGTATAGCCTTGGGGGGGGGGCCCCTCCCTAGTAAAAGGCCCTAGAGAATATAGATAGGGTTGAAATGCATGTGCATAGCCCAATTTGGCAATGCCAGCTCATTGAAAAAAAATTAGATCAAAAACTTTTATAGTTTGGGTTAAAAAAACGCCGAAAAAAGGGTCAGAAAAAGGAAAAAAAAAATTGTTGGGGGTTTTAATATCCATAATTTCTATATCCATTTTTCAAGGGCTTTTCAATAATATAGTTTTTAGATATTTATCTTTAGTCTCAAAAAAGTTTTTTTTCCAAAGACCGGACTTTTTCCGCCCTGTTCCAAACCCTAAAAAAATCCTTTAAATTACTATTCATTAAAATCACGATGATAGTGTCAAAAATGAGTCCCTTTAAACATTTGTTCTGTTTATTTATTAATCTATGTTTGTTACCAGAACGCTATTGAACTCCTACGCTGAGATAGAATCATTAGCAACCAGGGACTTGTTCAATTTATTTAACAATAGTATTAATAATAATAATAAATATTATTTAATAATTTATATTTTACAGTTCTTCTTTTCATTTCAAGAACGATTACGTTAATTAAAAACATTAAACTACATAATTTGATACAGTAAAATATTTTATTCCATATTATTTTTTAAAATAATTTCTTATGTATGTCCGGATACGCCTATCCATTATAGATTTTAAAAAGGAAGGGGGGGGTGGAGGAAGGGGGGGATGGAGGAAGATATTTGGGCGTAGCTTTAGTGATATGCAATAATATGATTCATATTCATAATACATAATTTGTCTTTCTTTATTACAATTTGAGTTTACGAATACATCAAAAACAGATTTGTCTCTTTAATGCATTAAAACATTTACAAGTTTATTCTTAAATAATTTAACAAATTTTTTTAATAGTAAAGGGACTGTTGGCGTATTTTCAAGTGACCCTAAATTTTAAAAAAATGCGGATTCACAATGGAACTCTTTAATTCTTTATCTGAGCAGCAATGGGAAAGATATCATCATTTTTCTATCTTAATGGGATGGACCTTTTTGTTGTCAATATCGACACATCTGCATAAATATTGAAATCCAAACAATATATAAAATATAAATTGAACTTGTTTATAGGACTGATTCCATTCCTGCTCCAGTTTGGCCTGCGGACCCAATCAATCCTAGAACCATCAGTTCTTCTCCTGTCCTGAGTAGATCACACCGAACTCTACTCCAGGTGGGAGAGGATACTGACACATTCTCCCGGAAGGTTGGGAATGTTGCACTCCAGGTGCAGAAGTTAACTGAGAAAGATCTCAGGTTTGACCGTAAGTTTGTCTCAAAACTGGAGGTTGGAACTAAAAGTGATTTTTTGCAATCCCGAGATCAGAGAACCAAAGAACGTCGGCGAGATGAAAAATCTTTCAAGAGAACGGATCAAAGATCAAGTTTAAGATCCGAACCTCTTCAAATGCACAGAGATATTGACCGAGATAGTTTCAGAGCACTTAAAAAGAACAATTATAAACCTCGAAGATCCTTTGCTGGACACTCAAACCTACGGCGAGGAGAGTTTAGTAACCGGAGTTCAAGAACTCCGAAAATAATCAGCAATTCTAAATATGTAAAGAAGATACTTGTTAATCAGGAACCCTCCCGATCATGGCCTGGATCCCAACGAGGATATTCGGATAAAACTAAGACGGGTGTAACCTATCCTGCTCCGGGTACAGGGGACGACAGATGCTTTAGTATTAGACACCAGGCCATGTCTCCTATCGGAGAGGAGGGAGAGAGAGGACATGACTCTTTGGTTACACATTCCTTGCTTCAGTTCACTAGTTTCTCTCCTACCCAGGATAGTTATGAGGACGGGACGGAGATTAACGAGGCTGGGTTTGGTAAGGAGGATATGGATCAGGTTATAAACGAGCTGAGCAAGGCCGTCATGAAGTCTAAAGGAGTAAGTACTTTAACCAGAGCTGTATCAAGAGCTAGATCCTCGCAAAGATCCCAGCATTCCGTTCGTAGCTCAATCAGAAGATCTTTCCGTCATCGGAGTTCTCGGAGAAAAAAACCCCGAAGCAGAACGGAAAGTTTAAGACAAGGAGCAGGAATTGAATCAATGCGAGACCTATGGGAGAAAACAGGGATGAAGACCAACGGTAGAAAACTTCTTATTGAGAGTGAGGATGAGCTAAATGATGGTCGAGTAAACCTCGGATATGAAAGTGATCTGAGTGATGTTTCAATCCCTATTCGGAATGGACGACGGAAAACTGTCAGTCAAAGCTCGACCGCCAGCTATGAAAGTGAGAATCGTAAACCTAGGTTGGTACGAAGTGATACAGGAGGTAGTTGGGAGCTAAAGGGAGGAGGTAGAAGGGATGGGTTGGACACTGTGGATCTGGATCGGGTTTCCGTCGAAGACGAAAGTGATTCAAGCGCTAAACATGTAAGATTCTCGAGCCGGAGTAAACTAAATGACTCCGAAAGACTGGTTTATGAAAAAATGCCTCCGACACGATGGGTGTCCTCCAACTCTAGTGTCTGGGAGAGATACTACGGGTCTGCTGGTATCCGTGATCTCAATACAACAGAGCTTGGAGGGTTTAAGAGATCCTCCGGAGAAAACTTTGGCTCCGGGTTTACCTTGGATCAGATGTCTAGCAATCTACTCCGGAAAAATGAGCAGAAGAAGAAAAGATTGAAATGTTTCTGTAATGCATTCTGCGTTTTTCTTCTTCTCTCAACCTTTCTCCTGGTCATAGTAGCGGTCAGTGTTCTACTAACCAGGGGGAAAAACCATTTTGGTTCCATGTAATTTAAGAGACTGTGCACTGTACATGAGTTATGTTTGAGGAAGAGATCAACCTATTTTACAATTTAAAATATTTTTATATTTATAAAAGAATAATTTAAATATTTTATTAATTATAATTTAACTGTGATACATTAGGTAGCTATTTATGCATTTTTATACTTAATTTAAATATATTATGTGGATGTCAAATTGTTTTAACAAAATTATCTTGATACTTTGAACTCGGAGAACTCGAGGGGGAGGAGGGAGAAAACATTAATGTTTCGGATGGGTTGGCACATGTCAATGACCGGCATTTAAAATTTTATTATCAACACGCTACTAAACTCATAGAAATTTAGAACAAAAGAATTTGTTTTTGCTATTTTAGTTATCTTCAAGTAGATGAATCATATGGAATCAATGAGATAACCTATCTAAAATACACTGGAAACCTTCATCTTTATTTACGAATGATATTGACAATCTTATAGATTAAGGGATTCAGAAAATAACCTTAATTTTATCAATTAAAATTGAAACCTTCCCATTAAACAAAAGAAGTTATAAGAATTGTTTTAATTGGGTTTTATTCTTTATTTTTGAAGAGAGAGGCAGCAACAACAAATTTGTAGAATTTGTGTTACATTTTTCGTCCGGATGATGATATAATTGTATAAAAAAAGTTTTTTTCTGATGAAATTTTACAAATGGATTTACTTTCTTTAGAAAATATAATCACCATAAAATCATCTCATTGTTATCAAATGAGCCCTAAAAAACTTCTCTGTAATACAGTGATAACCAGAAAACTTTGGAATGGGAAGTCTACTTTAAAAAGTCCAATAAACATGAGACACAGGAATTGTGCGGAGTAAACAGACCCATTTCACTAAATAAGTGATTTAATAACTTACTATAAGTAAATCTATTTGTTAAATAACAACATCAATTACACTTCAGTATTGTTTTAATGTCGTCTTCCTATTCTAGAGTTTTCTGTACTGCGCTCTCGGTTAAAATATGTCACCTAGCCGGTATTTCCCTGTAAGCCTTTTCGTGTTTTCGATGGATTTTATTATTAAGGAGAAATTTATGAATGCTTTTATAGAGAGGCAGGATCCTAAGAAAAAGAAAGAAATTAAGATTTTATTTTCACAATTGATTATTGTTGAACATTTCTTTTGAAGGGAGATGAGCGTACTTTTTAGTGATCCGTCATGCTGATAGGGTACAGTGAAACCCTTAATAACGAATACATCGAAAGAATTCATCAAATGTCGTATTCTTCACTTTCTGATAATGGAATATTGCAGATATTTAGTTTTTAAATTAGATGATTATATGGAACTCTTTAAAACTGTTCCTGCATATTCATGGCTATTTATTTATTTTCGCAAATACTGAAATTTACGTAATATAGTATAAAACTCATTGAAAAATTGTCAAGACGACATTTGATAAATTCTTCCGATGTATTCGTTATTAAGGGTTTCACTGTAAACCCCGATTCACAACGGTTTGTCTGATGAAGTGCATTAGATTATTTAAACGTCAATGTTAATAATCTTGAAAATTAATTATATTTAACTGTGGTGGCTTGCGCATTTCGACTCTAGGAGAACACTTAATAATTATCAAAAATAAACCCTTTTAAACTCAGGGAACGACAAGCTTTCACATTCTGCTCAAATATCCGAAGGTTTGAAGGGTACAGTTAAAGTGAATCGGACATTGTCTCATGTGGATGGAGGGTCCCTTGTAATTACGCTAGCAGTCCCTTAAGTAATATTTTAGCTAACACAGAAGTTGTGAAATCAAAACTTTTTAATCGGTTTTACTTTTTGGAACCAAACAACAAATGTTTTTTTTTATCACAGATTGCACTAAATTTTTTACCCCTGGTAAATTAGCTGTTTAGAAATGGAAAAAAATTGCAGAATAAATTATATAAAACAAACAGATGAAATTTATCAATTATACAATACAGTTGGAGCTAGAAAACTGTATTGTTTTCGTTCTATCTTTGAAATTATTTCTCTCTATGGATTTGTAAATTATAAATTGTCATTTAGGAGATTTCTGAAAACTCTGAAATTCAGAGGTCCAAACTTTTGTATGAAATATCGATACTCTTCAACTCTTGCTCTGTATCCACTATTTTTGAGGGAAAAGGGACTGAACAATAGATTTAGGATAATTACAATTGAGAATATAACGTAAACATTAATCATCTAAAAATGTACTGGTTATACCATCGTACTTTTTTCTAGAATATGTGTTGTGTTTAAAGGGACCGTTCACTTTCTTGGGTATTTTCATGGTAAACTTTGGATTTTAGAATTAGCAAGAAATTATACAAAGACGACTTTCACTCTCAGACAAACCGTTTCTAGATTCCAACTCTTCAATAAATCACGGGGATTTCTGGGGAAGTAGAGAAAACGTATCAAACAGTCAAATATTTGAAAAAAGTTATATTTTGAAAATAGACAATTTCAAAATACATTATTTTTTAAACTAAAGATATCTACAATTATAAACTATTGGATACTATAATTTAATTAAATATTTGAAAGGAATTGAGTCTTTGCCACAAACTCTGATTTTTTAATCCCAATATCTTTGCAAACCAGTGTTGTAGACCTCAGATATTTCAAACTATGAATTTTCTTAGATCAAATAATGATATATGATACCTTTGCGCTGGAATTCTGAATGATAAATCGGCTTTTTCTCAAGCAACAACTTTGAAAAGTAAGACTAATACCAATGAATAACTAATATAGGCTATTTAGTTTACTCTAAAATTACACAAATAAGTGAACGTTCCCTTTAAAGAAGAACACAAAACACTGTATAGTGTAGTCCTGTATCTGATTGAATACTTTTTTCGAGTTATCGGCACACTATTGGAAAACGTCAATCTTTAAGACGACATTTATACTCGTAGGGAGATAAATGTGTAACGATAACTCATTGATTTAGTTTTTAGTCATCCTTAGAGGTAACTTTATAGCCGGAATTTCTATCAACGGTGGCTACAGATTTGTTTCCAGAGGGAATTTCCCCCCAAGCTTCCAGGTGAAATCCCCCCCCCCCCCCTCCCATTAAGCCAAAACTGAGTCTGACTCGACTGAAGGGATTCAGAAATTAAATTCTTTCGTACTCTTTCAACATTGACCTGAAAAACATTTTTGGAGCTATTTTTCAAACTTTTTTTACATACTGGGTTACCCGCAAAGAATGAGACTGTATAGACTACTAAAAACTCTACCCATTTAGCGATCTGAAGGCTGTATTTTCTCTTTAAACAAAAACTAAATGACTCAGCAGTAGAAGAAACAGAGTCCGAATTTAAAGAATTTGAGCCGCGGCATAAATTTAAGAAAAGGCTCAAATATGGTAGGTTCCACTTAAAATCGTATTGAATGTTTCAAGATTTAAACCGGCGCTCAAATGAAACCGGTTTTTGTGGGATTTGAGACATGGCTCAAATTCATTAAATTCGGACTTAGGTTTAATATCGAAGGTAACAAAAAAGATACTTTATTCTAACCTTAAGTTGGTTTCTAAAATTCAAAAGGATGTCGCCTGTTTACTAGGAAGTGGGTGGGGGTTTGAAACCTATGGGATAATATTTTAAGACAATAGCTTGAGAAACCAGCATCTTGCCCATCTTGCATCTTGCGCTTGGTAGTAAATTATGATTTTTGCCATTTTTCCCTTTAGTTGAGTAGACCCAATCAACCATTAGAATCACAAAACCAAGCAAGAACATTCCGTGGTTCTCCCGAGTTTCTCAATCAAAGTTTGAGGCAAATGTGTCAAATGTGGCAAATCTTATACTCAAATATATTTTACTTTGAAATTATTTTCTTAGGGTTCAAACAACTTAACAAACATTTACAACTTTTCACCAACTGTCATGTTTCATGGGACACCCTGTGGATAACGTTCAAAGATTTAGCCAATTTGCACATTAACACGTTTTCTTAAAAACAGGGTATTTTGGCAGAGAAACTTCAGTAGGAATAGTGTTAAAATAGATGTAAAACAACATGTTTCGTAACTACAGATATATTCTGAAAATAGAACAATTGCTTTCTTAGGGGTTCTTAATAAATAAACCCCGCGTACTGCATGAACAGATTAAACGTCGTATTATCGGTATTGAACCTAGTATCGGTGGAGAGTTCAATTCCTTGTGTAGATACATAGCATACATTACCAACCTATATATACTGTTGTATCTATGGATCAGACATACAAACTAACAAACAGAAAAAAATATATCACAACTTAATATATAGATGCTGTTGACTATATCCTGAAACTTCTTCTTTAAACGACGACATTTGACAGATTCCTTTCATTAGCTCTTTTGCTTAAAAGTTAACGTTTCAATAATCACGAATGAATTTGCATTTTCTTTATTTATATTATATATACAGGGTTACCTATAAAGGATGAGACTTTAGAGACGGGTATATAACCGAATTTATCTTCCTTATACTTATGATTCTCTGCAACTGCAAAGCGAGGGAGGGAGTCCAGAGTTCCTCAAATAGTAATCACCGCTACCCAAATCTGTGTTGCGGAAAGTGCGCTCCTCAATTGGTAATCTCCACCACCTCAAATAGTAATCAGCCCAAAAAAGTATAAAATTAAATCGTTTATTTCTTAGAAATAAGACCATATTGACCTCTTTTGATGGCCCTATGGTGTACAATATTGTTAAAGCTTTCTTTATTGCTCCTTAGTTTCGAAAATAAATCAATAAATATGCCATACTAAGTGCTAGAAATATATTACGTTTTTTAGTTTCAAGTTTCGCTTTAAGAATGTTTGCGGCATTTTCCTCTGAATGTTGTTTTAAACTCCTTATATAGAGAGGAAACTTTAACCCATTATTAGTGGACTAAATACTTTATTCTCAGTAGTTGGTGTGATGAGACTAATTTTTCAAAATTTTATGTTCTTTCTATGCATATAATTAGTTTTGTTGTAGATGTTGAACTCAAGTAGGCGAATACAAAAATCTAAACACTGTAAAGGTTTTTTGAAAATATCTTTTAAATGGAGATGGATATTACTTTGCGTGGGATGAGATGAGATGTTGAAAATTGTCTTAAAAGTGCATTAAATTCAAATCACAGAAAACAAAATTTTACGGTGATTACTAATTGAGGTGGTGGAGATTACCAATTGAGGAGCGCGCTT